AGGGAGCCGCCGCGGCGGGGCCCCGAGCGGAGCCGTCCCGGCGAGCGGGGCCGCGCGCCGGGGTCGGTGTGGCGGGTCCGCGAGGCGCCAGCCGCCCGGGCTCCCCGGAGCCATTTTATGCTGCTCGTTAGCGGTGGTTGAAAAGCACTTCTCCCCGCCGCGGAGCCGGCCCGCCGAGGCGGCAGCCCCTTAACTTTTCTCCAGTGAGCGAGGAAGTATTTATTTAAAAATCAAAAAAAAAAAAAAAAAAAAGGAAAAAAACTCGTTATCCCCCCTGCACCCCCGTCCTTCCTCGTGCTTTCCGCACTCGGGTGGCTCGCTCTGTAGCTGCTGCTCACCGAGGTTTGCAATAAGCAGTCACACAAACGTGCGCAGCCGCCGAGCCCCGCCGGCCTCGGTTGCTTTTTTTTTTTTTTTTCTCGTTTTATTTCCTTTTATTTCCTCCCCTCGACTACGCCGAAAGCGGCCCCGAGCCCCCCCGCACGGCCGCGACAAACCGGGAGGGGAGTCCAGGCGGCGCGGCGCCCGCTCGGCCCCTTGTTTGTGGCGCTGGGATCCATCATGGCCGCCTGCCTTCCTGCCTGCCCGCGCCTTGTGTTCCTCCTCCCTGCGGCTGCCCTGTTTATATAGAGCTATTGCCGCTCTCTAATATAGACTCTGCCTGGATGGGAAGGTGCTTTCCAGCCCCACGTCACCGCCTCTCCATTTAAACACCACATCAGCCTTTAAATAGGGAGAGAGCCGCCGCGCGCGGGCTGGGAGGTGCATGCATCGGAGGCAGCGAGCCGGGCGCTGGCGCTCGGGTTTTTGTGCCGCGCTCGCATCGCGCTCGGCGCCGGCCGCGGCTCCGGCGCGGGGCCCCTGCGCTGCCGCCCGCGCCCCGCGCCGCCCCGCGCGACCTTCCCGCGGCGGCGCCGCGCACCGAGGAGGGGATCCCCGCGTGCCCTTTCCCGCGCTGGGAAAGGGTTTGGGTTTGGTTTGCTTGTTTTGTGCTTGTCCTTAGCAAGTGCAGAGTCCTGGCTGCCCACAGACTCTTCTAAAAACTGCATTTTTTTTTCCTGCCATTTTTCCCCTTTTTCATTTTTTTTTTTTTTATTATTCTTTTCCTTGCTAGGTAAGGAAAGCACAAGCTAAAAGATGTGGGTCCAATATATCAAAAAGATAATGTGGTACTTGCTTTAAGTGCTTTGCCAAGGTCAGAGCATGATCTGACAGCACCTCGGGAGCTAAAAGCATCATTAATTTAATATTAAAGTTTTGTCTGAGGGTCACGGGCCACAGGATGCTGCTTGAATATTTGTGTTTCTGGTGGCAAAAGCTGATGAGCATGCAGGTGTTTGTGTGGCAGTCTAGGAAGAGTGAGGCTTTTAGAACTACTGCTACTTTTTGGTTTAATTGCAATATTTTGTGTACTGTTTAGGATAACAGYAGTAGCAAATGTAAATCTTTTAATTCAAGCTTGAAATGATCGAGGATCGTGTTACTTTGATATTTTATCAGATTTTGTATCAGAGAGTCTTAGAAAAGTAGTCAGTGATTACACGCAGGACTTTGTATAATGCATATCTTGTGTGAGACCTAAATCTGTTAGCTCCCCTCTTTTGTATAACACTCTAACTTTCTTGTTGGTAAAAGATAAATTTCTGTAGTCTTTCTGTAGCTCTCTTTCTTGTTCTTTCCTTTTTAACACCAAGTTAGTAATGAACAGAAGAAAAAAGCACTGTGAATAGTCTTCCAAGTTTTGTTGCAGCAGTTTACTGAGGCTTGCGTTTTCTGGGCTGTCTGTGCTGACATAGCAGCATTTCTGTAAGGTYCTCTCAGAAAAGATTGTGTTTGAGCATTGTGTTCAGAGTCAAGCCAGCCAGGCTTCAGGCCAGCTCTCAACTAAGAGAACGACCTTGCGAAGATCTGCCCGGTGTGGTCAGTGCCGCATGGTTAACTTGGTAAAATTCAGCTTTCACTCAGGAGCAGGTTAATGTGGTTAGCATAGKGTTATGCAAGTAAGAGCAGCTCACAATCCTGCAGTGGGATGATTCTTTTAGCAGGCGAGGCTTTGCCAASAGCATCTCCTCAAAATCTGAATCCCTAGAAGTGTGGCCTCCCTAGCGTAGGACATAGAAATGTTAATGACTTATATGCAGTAAAAGATTTCATAGGTGACAAGTAAAGTCTGACAGCTTCAGTAATTACTTATGAATATGTGTTACTTCTTTTTAGGCACCTGTTTGAAGCAATTGTAGCTGAAACTAGTTACCTTGACAATGTGTCCCTTTAGGAATCCTTAAAAGAGCTCTGTAGGCTAGAGGAATTCATCAGGGATAAGTGCAGAAGGGAGCAGGGACAAACTGCTGTCAAATGCAGAAAGCGCCGYACGCGTCTCTGTGTAATGTGTTGGTTACTGGAATCCCAACTGCTGAAACCTGGATGCTGTAATAATAACTACAGAGAGGTGCAGTATCCGTACCCTTGAAACTCCAGAGGAATGTGGGAAACATAAGCYCCCAAAGGCATGTGGTGTCACTTAAAATAGCTTGTTGGTTGCTTCGTGGATTTTTCTGTGTGTGTGTGTAGCAGTCTACCGTGCTGAGGATTTTCTTTTACAAGATGCACAGAGAGAGGGAGACACAATCATTTCCTTATGTCCCTGGAGGGGGAATTGTTGGATTCTCAAACCTTTTCTATGTGTTTGCGGTTCTATCTAATAAATCAAGAATTTTAATTGTTGTCTTTCATCTATAGTAAGTGTTTGGAACAGTGTTTATTGAAGAGCAATTTGAGTATGTTTGCTCTTAAGAGGGCTTAGAGTTTACGATGGCATGCACTTTATGAAGGAAGCACTCTAATATAAACCAAATGAAAGCATGATTATTTTAATGGTAATCTTTTTAAGTTTCTGTAGAACACTGGGTGAATTTATTGCAGGGTTTTCTCTTAAATTTTGTTACAGATCACTCGCTAATCTAAACATGCAGTTAAATCTTTAGGTCTACTGCAGTAAAGCTGAAGTGATTGGTTAGTCTGGAAAGTTACTATATGAAAGAATTATGAGAAAACTACTTAAATTTGGAGATAGTTTTCTTTATGCATGCTTGTATAACTCTGAGAACCGTTGAACAAGCATTTTGAAGAGACAAAATTGTGATGCAGTGGAAAAGGGAGATGTSCGAAGGATTTGGATTTAGTTGTTTGGAGTGGAGGGTTACTGACATTTACACTTTGAGGAGAAGGAATTTTCCTACCTTGTCATTGCCTCATTTGACTGGACACGAAAATTGGTCAGAAGACTTTAACTCACTAAGGATCCCATCTCTAGACTTTATAAGTAATTACATTATCAAGTTCAGGTTTTGAATGAGCAAGCCGTGTGTGAAAATAGCTTTGTCATTCGTCTTGAGAATTGTAGGGGTTTATATATAAACAACTTGAGCATCATATAAGCAATAGCTACAACCAGCACCTTACATATATCCAAGAGAGTGCCCTCTGCTCCCTTTCAAAGGCTAGGGCTTAAGGCTGCTCTGCACAGTTGCACTCTGCATTTGCAAGTAGTGAGAGAGCGTTTTGCAGCATTTCTGAAAGTCCACCACAGATGGCTCTTGAAAAAGGCCTTGTTGCTCTCACTCATGGAAAGAGTTGTATCCATCTGAGCTGGATGTTTAATAAGAATTCATACAGCCAGGCAAGACTTTTTTTCTGAGTATTATTTAAAAATATGTGGGTGAAATGGAGAAGGGGAGGGAGCAGAAGTGCAGATACTTCTGTCTGTTTTTCCTCTTTTCCTTCCTCCTCATACAATCACACCYGTTTGGGTTATTGTGATAGTACGTGGCTAGAATGCTGTCCAACATTTCTGACCCACTGAGTGATAAAAGCGAACTCTGACTGTGAATGGTTCTCTTGCTAAACCATTGCTGTGCTCAGTGTTTTCTTTTTGATTTATTTATTTTTCCCTTATTGCATGGGAGAAATAAAATGTTCCCAAGCAGGTTGTTAGCTATAGAGTTGCTGTATCTGATGATTAATATTTTCCCATTGACTCTATTATCTGATGAAACTCTGCAAATACCTTTTTAAATACAGCTCTCAAAAATGACTGATTCTGGAGAGAAGAGGAGGTAACTGCTGGTTGAACTGTTTGTATAAAGCTGGTTTTAATAGTGAAGTTCAGCAAAACGATGAGCAAAGGAGCAAACAGAGTCTCCATTCTGCAGGTGCAGGCACTGTGTCCTTCTGACCCAAGAGAAAGAGTTTGGGTGCCTGAAGTTAAGGCATATATAKTTATTTATCTATATAATGCGCTCTTGGCTCCTCCACAATGCTAATTCAATAGGTCAACTAGCATTCTTGTGCTAGGTGCATTGTCTAAGCTTCATAAAATTTGTTGGTTATAGGAATAATATGACTTCCACRAGCTTGATGTTTATATTGAAATCGTCTCTGAATTAAGAATCCAGTTTTTGGCGTTCCTAGATCCTTCTAAGGTTATTAAATGGAGCATCTATTTTCATCTGCTATGAATTAAGTAGAAGAATAATCCTCTTACTGGAACCTGCCATTTCTAATTTTCTTGCTACACAGAGCTTAAAAAAATGATTCTCAAGAGTAGTCTGCTTTTGAAATGAGTGTATTGATGCAGCTAATGCTCTACTTGACGTTACATACTTGTGCAGTTAAGCTTTATTTTGAAAGAAAAGGTTTCTGAAAGTAATCTGGTATGTTTTACATCTTTTGGAGAAGTCGAGTTTTGAAAACTCTGCTATGAACATCAGCTACATTTAAGTAAGAAAAATATATYCTATTACTTCAGGTTGGAAAGCTTGTGCAGAGGCAAGTAGCAAGCTGATAAATTCTGTCATTTCAGCCACTTGCAGCAATGCATTTTAATGTTGAAAACTGGCAAACCAATGGAAATGTAAAATGAAGAAAAAATAGGGTGTTCCAACACACTGCCTGCCAGAATATTGAAGTGTTGATCAGAGTTCTTGAAGAAAAAACATTTCAGAATATTCCACCACGGAATCTTTGTGGGCTTTAATCACTAAGGACTTAGTGCACTAAGGAACCATCCGAAAAGAGAATACCCTCTTTCCAGTTTTCTGGATGGCTTCTCTGCTTTGTAGTACCAGTACCTTTGAGCTCTCTTACATTCAGAAATAACAATATTCAGTGGGGTTTTTGTTTTGTTTTTTGGATGCATGGCGGTTGTAAATGATGTGCAGATACTCCATCCCTTATTCCAGAATGTACCTACTGCATATGTGTAGGATATTTAACATACCTTTAACAAATACAGTACTTCATGGATAAATTAAGCAACTGCATATGCATAAWAATGATGTTTATCAGATAAATTTATCTAGTCGTAAAAATGCTGGTCCAGCCGTGTGTGCTTTAGTGTAAGCTTTTTTTATGCACAGCCCTGCTGGCGTGCAGGGGGATGGGGATGCCTTCAGTGCCCTTGAGGTTTTCTGCTCCGGTGAGGTGCTGCGGCTGGAGGTTGTGGAGTAGGGGGAGAGATACGACAGCTAAAAGAAGGTTGCAACTACTTCCAGATTGAAAAAAAGTCTACAGACAGCCTGAAAAACAGTAGTTGTCAGTGAAATATATGTGGTTTCCAGTCTGTAGAACTCTGCTGATTCACAAGTTACCTCTACCTTGCAATTAGCTGGCACAGATATTTAAAAATAACAAGGATCCCTTTGAGATTTGTACACCATGCAGACATCCAAACTGTAATATGTGTTTGAAAGGTGTCCARTACATATGGTACACTTATCCTGGGGGTCTGTAGAGTCGAGCTGTATGCATTAACTGATAAGGTTAAGTGTATTCTTTTCAAATTGATTCTGAATGTTGAAATTCACTATGTCAATTACAGTTTAGGCATGAAGTCAGCCTAATGAAATAAAGATGTATGTGCAGTTATCTTTTCTGAAGAATTTGTAATGTAAGAACAGAAGTACTGACTGAAAGCAGAAGTCCTCAGTAGTCTCTAAGCAAATGTCAATGGACGAACAGAGCATTCATGTGCCCCAGTTCTGAGTCTCCTGTGAACTTCCTGAACCAGATTTGTCTTTTGTTCAGTTAGCAATCTTTAAAGATGTTTTTAAAATGTATTTGTTTAGTGGCCTTTTGAACTTTTATCATCCTATGACGTAGCTTACAAACATGCAAAGATTTTTGAATGTCTAACAGTTATGCTTGTTGGCAAGAAAAATTGCTGAATGGATGGATGGGAAAACTCCCATCTTTGTTTTGAATTCAACTCCATAGCTTGACAGTTCTTTTCCTGCGGCTGTATCACAAAAGATAGTGAACAGTCCATTCCCTTTTCACCTTCTTAGAGCCATTCTAAGCTACCATACAGTTTTGACACATTYTCATAGTTTAGTTTAGCTTTGTGTGAGGATTGACTCTTCCATATCTTTTGATTGTTTTTGCTGTTCTTTGTGTTGTGGAATTAGGAAAACATAAAGACATATGCTGTTTAAGATATGGGTAAGAACTGAATTAGCATACTCTGTATACTGTTTTATAAGTAGTCTACATGGAGCATAATGAATGTTCTTTGTTCCATTCTCTATTGTTTTCCTAATGTTGCCTAACACTTAGCTCAGTACTTGCCACATCAAAAAAGCAAACWAACATCATCACTGAACTGTTGCAATTCAGGGTCTTGCCCCTGAGTGGCAGCGAGGGCTTTGGAGCTCCTTTTGTGAAGTTACTGCCAGTCCGTGATGGGAGCACGAATACAAAGTGATGCCATTTTTTTTTCCTTTGGTATTGCTGATTTATACTTTCCTACTGGAAATGGTAGTCACTCAGAAGCATGCACTCTATTCTGTATGCGGTTTTCAGATATTTTTCAAGACGAAATGTCACTTCATTATTATAGTGTAAATTTCTTTTTGAACAAATAGCACTGACTAGCTCTTTCTCTTGTAGCCTAAATTGTACAGGTCTGTAATTGAAGATGTCATCAATGATGTCAGAGAAGTTTTTCTGGATGAAGGAGTGGATGAACAAGTTCTCATGGAACTCAAAACAGTAAGTTGTAACTTTTTTGTTTTTACTAAACTGATGCACTGTGTGATTGGATGCTRCTTACTGTTGCATACAGTAAAAATTATGATTTTTAGTTAGCTTTGTAGTATATTAATCTTTATATATGTAGCCTCATATCTTTCAGATTAAATTTTCGTATACAGATTTGTTTATTTGGCACTTGAAATTTGATGAAAACTTATGATAGGCCTCAGAATTCCCTGTGTTATCATTTCAGTTACATCACACTTTATCTCTTAATCAAAAAAGAGTTTTTATTGTCAGATGTTCTTTATCTGCATATGCAATTTTTGATTTGCACAATAGCTTATACAGTGCATATCAAATGTTTTTTCCCTAACCTCTAATTAGGGTATTCACTGTATTTTTAATGGGTTAGAGCTGGTATAAGGGATCCAAAAGTGAGGCAAATTAATCTTGGTTCTAATGCCCATCTCATATGGGCTTCTTCAAGTACTTTATGAGCAAAGAAGCCCTTGAAAAGACGAGGAGAAAAAGGTGTAGCAGAAAATGAGGAAATAAAGTGAAAGGAAACTGGGAAAGTAGATACTGGCCCAGTTCAACCGTTGAGTCCTTCAGTAAGTGAGAATCCTGCACTCGGTGCATAATACTAAAAATTGGGTGATGTATGACAGAAATACTGAGTGCTAGTATTGGCTATAAAGAAACAGGTGAAGATCTCCTTTAACCCCCTCCAAATCATGACCTAATTTGATGGGGGATGAGGAGAAAGAGACAGTGAAAACCMTAAGAAAAGGATCTCAATGTTTGTGTCATATAGATATTTTACAAAGGATTTAGGGAAAGATTAAAGGAGGAAAGATATGAGAAAGAAGACCAAGTATTGAAGAGAAATAGTGAGGAAGCTTTAAGCAGGATTTGAGATCAAGGTTCTTGGGTGCCTGCAGTTTTTTGGATTSCATGTAGTATGGAATGCTTGCTGTCTTTTTTTTTGCAAGAGCTGCTTTGCTGTGGTTGTTGCTCTTTTAAGAGGAGCCCTGTCAGCTCAAGTCAAAGAAWTGAAAGGTTGGAGATGCTGAAATTGATATTGATGTGGTAGAAAATGTGTAAAGGCTTGGACCTTATTGTAGAGGTTACTGGCAGTTTCTGTTAAAGTGTGTTATCATGGAAAAATCTTGAGGCACCTAGTATTTAGTAGTTTTAGGAAGAAATTGCTAAGGAGATGGCTGTAAAGAAGTGTGTTTTTGTGGTTAAAGAAGCTTAAAAAATGAAGATAGAGAAGTGGAAACTAGAATGCAGAGAAGTGGAAACTAGAATGCAGATTTAAAGTTACCAGTTTCTGTTTGTACTTCTGTTAAGATTGTAATGATTCTTCCATTAATGAAAGAAAGAATGCTGATTGAAGTTTAAGCTTGGAATGACTATTATGGGATATTTCTTAAAACTATACCTGCTTGGAGTTGAATCTTCAGCCCATGCATGGCAAAAGGTTTACTGAGCAAGATAAACAGTGAAAACATTCAATTTTGTTGTACTCTGTTTATATCATTGCACATCTGAATGAACAAAAATAGTACCCAGATTTCTCTTTCCTTTTTCAAACTAGCTGTGGGAGAACAAGCTGATGCAATCCAAGGCTGTAGATGGCTTCCACTCAGAAGAGCAGCAGCTTCTGCTGCAGGTGCAACAGCAGCAGCAGCAACAGCAGCAGCAACAGCATCACCACCACCACCATCACACACAACCTCAGCCGCAGCAGACTGTGCAGCAGCAGTCTCAGCCCCAACAGGTCCTTATTCCAGCATCCCAGCAAGGTCAGGCTCGTTCGCTAACGTGTCTGGGGCAAGGCCATTCAGACCAGGTTCTTTGCACATTAGTCATCCGGGGAGGATGTTTATCTTGTTGATTTTGTGGCTTTATGCTAAGCTCTCTCTACTTGCCCTTGCTTTATAGATCAAGACAGTTAGTTGTCTTGTGCACGCACACAAAAAAATTAGCATGGATGGGAAAATCTCCATATATGTTGGAAAAGCTGAATCCTTTTCTTGGCCTTCTACTACTGAATAGTTTAAATTCTTTAATATAGACTTTCAAGTTATGTCAAAAAACGTGTTAACAACTTGAGGGTTTCAAGCTCCACTCTACAAGTGGAGGTGATTAGCATTTTTGTAACAGTTTGCWTGTATGTAGGAAATGTTTTTCATGTTAGAACATGTTTTAGATGAGCGTAAAGGCTTTCTTTTTAAACGTCTGGTTGCACATTGTGTAAGTGTGAGAGAGATTCAAGGTATGTTTTAGTTATATTTAATTTATGAAATTATTGTCCAGTGTATTCTCCATCAGTAAGTTCGGGGGAAATACTATTTTCACCATTATTATTTCACCAGTAATTTCAATTTAAAAATCAGACAAATACAAATATATTTTACTGGATAAACARACGTGTTGCCCAGGTCATGTTTGAGTTGAGGAGCAAGCTTTTGTGCACTATTATAATTCTGGCCAAGATAAAAAGTAACCTTGTATCTGCTGTCAGTCAGAACTAGAGCCTTCTGTCAGAAATACGGAGCAACACCTCTGTTGTAATGGGTGCAGAAGATAACCAGGAGGTGCTTTTTATCTATTYATTTACTTTCGCTTCCACCACTCAAAAGAATCTATTCAAAACAGAGAACTACTGACACCATGCAGAATTATTTTAMTGTTTTATCTTCCGTGTTAACTGTAACCTGGTGGTGGGTTTTTATTTTCCTTTTTGTAWTACTCTGTGCCTGTACATAAATCAGTCTGGGCTGCTGAGATAAAATTCTTTTGGAGATAAAGACCTGTGACTGCATGYACGTCTCTGTGAGCATCGCAGATCAATTTGGCATCCTGGAGAAGCTGCCTGCTCTCCTGCTGCAGACCCCTCGTGGCCGGTTAGCTGGGTAGCTCTGACTCCACTGACTAGTTCTCCCTGCAGTAGTAGGGAGTCGCTGTCCTCCTGTTTGGCTCTTCCTCTGGAATCTGCTTAGAGTATTAATCCGTTTTAAACTGACTTGTTGCTTTGTGTTGTGGTTTAAGATCGAATGACACTGGATGCTAAATGAGTTTGGGTACTGTAATCATAGATTTATGCAATTTTACAAGTTACCTGACTTCCCTTGTGTGGGGGATATGGAACCGTGAAGGATGGAGTTGAATGAGTTAGAGCAGTTTCTTTSGGGGGAGAGAGAGTCTGGCTCTGCAGAGAGATGAGCTGGGCTGGCATGGTGGTTCCTGCAGGGCTGTGTGTGATCCTGGCACACGGTCACGGGGCTTGCTTGGTCTCTTTCCCTTCCCTGGGTTTCCTTAAAAGTTGAGGACCATAGGGTGATCCCCAACTTAGAGCCTTTTCCAGAAGTATTGGTTACCTGCAGTATTTGTAATGTCTTCAGTTACAGGCTTCAATATAGAATACCTGCTTGATGATTAGTCTTTTTAAATGGCACAGTTTTCTTACAATGTGCTGCCCTGATTTAGCACTCAGCTTGCAAGTTTCATATACATCAGGATATGATTTGACACTTTTTGATGAACAACAGGATTTTTGCATGGTTTTGCTCTCTGTTTCCTTTAGCACACCAAAACTGTTCTGTTTGGGCAGGTGTTTGTGCATATTTCATCTACTCCCAACTATAGCAAAAACCTGGTGAAGTTCATAGCCTTTTGCTGACAGCTGTGCACAGCTGTGTGTTAGAGACCTAATTCATGCTATTACACTTGATTAATGTATTCTTCATCTTATTACAGTCTTTGCATACGTCTTTTTGAGGAGTTAACCACTGCTAGCTGATGGTTTTGGAGAGCTCAAATGCATCATTAGATTTATTAAAGTTTTAGTATAATACCCTTTATTTCATAAATGTATTTTAAAGCTTGTTTTAGATAAAGTCAGAATAGATTGAAATAAGTCTCTAAGGTGAAACAGCCATATCTCACCTAAGAGCTGCTGCTGTTGTACATTGTCTGAAGAGTAAACTTCTGCCTTTTTGGTTATAAAGCTCAGGTGATGTTTGTGTGATGCCCTTTCTCATCATTCTGCCTTGGATGGTATTTTGGACGGACTGCATATTTTCCTTACAATGCTATTTTTTTGTTTGTTTCTAGCACCTCAGCAGCAGGTTATTGTGCCAGATTCCAAGCTGATACCACATATGAATGCATCGGGCATGGTAAGAAAAGCAGAGAGCTATGCTTCTTTAGCACAGAGCAGAACTTTTCTATAGAGTAGAACTTTAAGACAACGAGGTATTGGAAATGTTGCCCATGTTTCTCATAAACTTAGTGTTAAGGTTCCAGAGACCCCTACCCCCTTCCCTGCTTATCTTGCCCAAATGCACTCTGTCATTATGTAAGTTGTTTTGATTAACTAACATAAATTGGGTATTAGGTATTACTGCTTAARAGTAAATTGGGAAACATTGGTAAAGTTGGTTGCCAAATTACTGAATTTTTCTGCACTGATGACAATTCAGCATCAATTACAGCAATTTTGTAATAAGAACAGAAATCAATCTGGTCTTCTAGTTGTTTCTTGCAGATTTTGTCTTCGGAGTTTTTTTTTTTTATTGTCTTGCTTTAAGTGTCATGGTTTAAGCTTAAAAAAACCTCCAACAACTCTATTGCCAATCTGTGAAAACAACAGCTAAAGCAATTTAAATATATGTATTAAATCATTAGATTCTTATTATTTTAATGGTAAAAGCGCTTTAAAGTTTCACAGTTAATCGAATCTACAGTAGTTTGCTTTACCATTCACTTATCCATTATTTGCTGAAAGGGCTGTTCATCTTATAGAAAAGAACCCAAACTTCATTAACCAAATAGCATAATTTGCCTGGAAGCTTAGGGAAGATTAATATCTACTTTTATTTTAATTCCATAGAAATGGTCATGAAGAGTAATAAATAACTTGCCTATTCTAGCAGTTATGTTTTTTAATTCTCTCCCCTGTCTCTTCTCATTGTTACATCTTATTAATTAGTATTGCAAAAATTAACATATTGAGCTTTAAACTCTGTTGCTGTCAAAAGGCAGCAGAAGTGCATGCTGCAGAAGACTGCCAGTTCAGTAAATACTCTGCTAGCAAATCAGTTTGGAAATACTGTGTGCTTTCTAATAAGCATTTAAATTAGTATCAAAGAATGGATCAGATGAGTCTTGAGTATTTTGGAAGGTAGAGAATAATGAGATTTATGCATCTGCCCTTGCCTGGAACATGAGGATGCAGAAGAGCACTTTGTAACTTTGCTCTGTGTTCATTAATTTTGGAAGCTGTAATTGCAATATTAGTCAGATGATAAGGACCTAGAGACTATGTTCCTTAAAACAGGAAATAGGCATTTAACCCAGTAATAAAGTTTAAATCTTTTAGTAGAGGAGAATAATCTTCCTTAGTGGAGAAGGGCGGGGGAGCTTCTTCAGAAGTTAGAATCACAGAATATTCAAGGTTGGAAGGGACCTCTAGAGATCATCTAGTCCAACCCCCCTGCTCCAGCAGGGACACCCAGAGCATGTGGCACAGGGCGGCATCCAGGCGGGTTTTGAAGACCTCCAGAGTAGGAGACTCCACAACCTCCCTGGGCAGCCTGTTCCACTGCTCTGTCACCCTAACAGTAAAGAAGTTCCTCCTCACCTGCAGACGAAACTTCTTGTGCTCCAGCTTGTGGCCATTACCCCTCGTCCTATCGCTGGCCACCAGTGAGAACAGCCTGTCCCCTTCCTCCCTGCATTCTCCCTTCCTGAACTTATACACATTAATCAGATCCCCTCTGAGCCGTCTCTTCTCCAGAGAAAACAGGCCCAGCTCRCTCAGCCTCTCTTCGTACGAGAGATGTTCCATTCCCTTAATCATCCTGGTTGCTAGATGTTATTAGACCCTTGAAGTAAAAAGGCCTCTGGAAAAGTCCATCTTCCTCTGTGATGTAAGGACTTAATGCAGATATCTGTGTTTTGAACTTCTTGATTGTGGTGGAATTTGGTTTTCTTGTAAGTTACAGTCATTATGCACTTAATACCTTTTTTTTTCTCTCCTAACTGACTGTCTGTGAAACAAATGTTAGTCATTTTGTTGAACAGTCAGTGCACTGACTATATGTGTATATTTAGTAGAGCTGTGTTACACAGAATATGAAAATCATTTGCAGARTTAAAAAGTGCAGACTTAACTGTTACTACATCTGAAAGCACACAAGGGCATCTGWACGTGTTGATCGCTAAAGAACCTCRTGTTTCTTAAGCTAACCTGAAAATAGAAGTGAAATTGTCGTATGTGCAGGCCAGTATTGGACTCTATTAGTAAGTCAGCAGAGATGACAGAAGAAAACAAAATCTTTTGATACTTAGTGATTGTTGTTTCTATTTTTTTCCTGTTAAGGAAGAAGTTGCAAAAATAGTTTTTTTATGTATAATGCAGTTATTTGACCATCTATTAATAGATGCATAAACTTATTTGCAAATATTGTAAGTAGATATAAATGGTTAAATATTTAACTTTCAGGTAGTATTCTGAGACATGAAACCCTAGCAATAACATTTTCAGTTAAAACCATTTTTTCCTGTCTTTCAGAGCGCAGCAGCCACCGCAGCGACGTTGGCTCTCCCTGCTGGCGTTACTCCTGTTCAGCAGATACTTACAAATTCAGGTAACTATCTCATCAGTGAAGCAATCACAAGGCTTGAGGCTGATGGAACTTGGTGGAAAGACCTTCCAAGGTCTACGAGACCCCCACTGTTTACACAGCTCACCTTCCTTCTCTAGTCAGTGCCCATTCATAGTGCGTTACAGTGCTCTTTGATTTAAGAAGCAGGACCTGGAAATCAGCCATCRCAGAGCCCTGTCATTAATACTGCTCTAGATTCTAAATCTTTGCTTGCTCACAGACTGGTTAGTTTTTCAAACTTTGACATTTTGACCTAGCAGGGGTATGGGCTAGATTTTGTGCTAGTTTTCCATGCTTTTTAGACTAGCACCTGAAGCTAGAAATTGCAGTTTTGCTGCTGATAATGGATGTAGCATGTTTAAATACTGCTCTTTGGAGAACATTGTCAAATATTTGGAAAATAACGTGCCACCTTTATGAATATGTGTGATGCTTCATGTGCAGTGTTCTTGTGTTGATCTCAGAAGCTTGATTCCAGATATCCTCTGGTATGGACAGTAAAGGAAGATCTGGTCATTTTCTAGACACGGATGATGCTCTTGCCAGAATAATTTGCCTTGTCTATTCAGAATCACCTGCTGGGCTGCCAATTTAATCTTCCTACTTTAAACATCTGTGTGTTTAAAGGATTTGTAGATGAAATAAAATTGAAATGCATAGCTATTTTAGCAATTTGGTCCTTTTCAATATTAAGGAAGCACAGTTATTTTTTACAGCCAAATTCCATAGTTCAATTCCATAGTTCATAAGTTTGCCACTTTTTGTTCAGTTGTATATATCTGCAGTATGTTTTCTTACACAAGGGCATGGGGTTGCCTGCAGAACCATATTCCCTTTTTCAGGTGTACTTCGTTGTTTCAGTAAATAGGCTTTGCTTTTGGACTGTCAGTGGAAGACAGGAAAAAATATTTGAGAGAAATGTTTAAAGTTGAGGATTTTCTGACTTTTTGTTTGTTTCTTCTATGGCTGCATCTCTCGGAATAGAATGCAAAGAACTCATGTTGGTATATGTCTTAGATGTCTTTTCAGAGTTGGTGGCCTTTTCCAAAGTTAATGATTTGAGAAAGGAGGCACAATAATAAAGCTATGGGGCAGTAAAAGAGCAGAGTTGGGATCAGAATATAAGAATTATGGGAAAAGGAAGGAGAGATAATTAAAAAGCGCAAGGATAGAGTTTTCAAAGGGATAAGCAACCACACATCAGTAATTGAAAGGAAGTAATGTGTGGAGGAGTACATTGAAGTGGGTAATCAGAGGGACAAGAATCTCTGGGAAAGAGGTTGTCATCTTGAAAGGACAATGGAAAGATCTGGCCTTAGTAATGGACAAACTTTTTGATGTGAATTCCTGTTTTGGAATATATTTGTTTTGTCTTCTATCTCTAAATTTTATCTTACATGACGTTCATTCTTCAGCAGAAAGTTGATACTTGAAATACTAATCCTTTAGAGCAGCACAGTATTTGGCTTCAGGGATCCTGTATGCATAAATAGTTATTGAATTGCACAGCGTGTGATTATTTAGGTATAAAGGTTGTCTCTCTGTTCCTTAAATAGTTGCTATACCAAGTAAATAATATAATAGTATCTTTTCTCTGGTGAAACAGAAAAGTACTCTAATAGTTTTTGTATTTTTCCAGGAAAMAAGTTTCTAAATTTAAGATTATTTTAAACCTGCTTTTTTCTTTTCTTTTTCTTTTTTAATACTGCTTTGCTTATGTATTTGTTTAATCCAGGCCAGATCCTTCAAGTAGTTAGAACTGCAAATGGAGCTCAATATATCATTCAGCCACAACAGCCGGTCGTTCTACAGCAGCAGGTCATACCACAAATGCAGCCTGGTAGTGTACAAGCCCCTGTAATTCAGCAGGTAAGGAAAGAGTTCAGAACAGATACAGCTGAAGGAGAAAACTTCATTAAAATTACTATTGATCAAATGGAAAGAAAATGCAAAATTGACAAAGTGAGAATTGGTATATGAGTTACGTTAAGAAGTGTGCATTTTAAAAATGAACAGTTTGAAAATGTCTTTTTCAAATGATACTCAAGCATATATTCCCACTGGTCTCAGTTTAAAATGGATTTTGTGTCAGCTGATGAGAAATACAGTATGTGCATAATTTTAGTCTATGCTCTAAAATTTTTTATTAGGTAAAATAATTTACCACTTAGCTCTAAAATTTTTTATTAGGTAAAATAATTTACCACTTAGCATTTAGAAAGAAATACTCAGAAAACCTGACTATGGAATTAAGTTTGCATCCAGGCTGCATGAGTGCTGAATTTAATATTGTGACACAGTTCTGCAGTTCAGGCCTGAATAATATGCGGAAAACTTAATGTTAAATGCTTTATAAGGAAAGTTTGAAAGTAATCTTTTATTTGAATTTAAAAAAAGATAATTTACTTGGAACTCAGTATGGTAGAAGTGCTAATGTTAGAATGGAAAATGAGACCAATTAAAGAGCGAAGCTGTACTGTTGCAGGAGCATTTGCAGCTCTTGTTTCTCACCAAGTCAGATGGATGTGTGCTGATTGTTTTCAGTGGGTGGTGGGTATGGAGGTGAGCTGTGGTAGCAGTCACTGTACTTGCCATGATATTCCATCAGGTCTTGGCTCCCATCCCCGGCGGGATTCCGCAGCAGACAGGAGTGATCATTCAGCCTCAGCAGATCCTGTTTACAGGAAATAAAACCCAGGTCATCCCTACCACTGTGGCTGCCCCAACCCCTGCCCAAGCACAGATTCCTGCAGCTGGCCAGCAGCAACCACAGCAGCAACAGGCGCAGGCACAAGCACCGCTCGTGCTCCAGGTCGATGGAGCAGGGGACACCTCCTCAGAGGAAGAGGAAGATGAGGAGGAAGACTATGATGACGATGAAGAGGAAGACAAAGAAAAAGATGGAGCTGAAGATGGCCAGGTCGAAGAGGTAAACTTGACAATATTTCAGAAAATATCCATAATACTTAAAAGAAAACTATATGTCTGTRTGTGTTTTTTTTTTTCTTTCTCCAAGACAAAATAACAAGTAGAGCAGTTCATTAAACTTAAGTCACTTAATTCCTTCCCAAATCATACTATATTTAAGAACCCTGTGGTACACCTGTATCCTCTGCCGTATAGCTTATATAGTTTGATGGAGGTGAGAAGATGAGGATTGTGTGCAAGATTTCAGGAAAATTGTTGTAATTTAATTTGTAATAACGTGTAATTGTAATTAGTAATGGTTGTACTAGCTTTTGAAATACTTTTTCCTTGAGATAGAAAGTTTCTGCTGTGACATTCTCAGCACAGTTCGTTGGACTTARTGCAGAGTAATGTTTTTCTTGGCTATTAGACAACTCTCAGACATTTCAGAGAAGGAGCAAGAATGTTCCAGAAGAGGTATCTGGCTTATGTTCAAGGTGATCTTATGTTCAGTTTCTAGCAGGATTGTAGGCAGGAATGGGAAGGTCGTGCTGGGAAGAGGAAATAGGATACGCAGTAGACTTKCAGATCAGAAAGGGGTATTTGTACATATTCTTGGCATGGCATTTGGGGATGCTCTAGACATGCTTTGATTAGGAAACTCCAACTTTGAAGTGTGGGAGTGAAGGAGTAGTAAAGAGTAGAAATAGTTGCTCAATTTAGGAAAAAATAATTGAAGGGTGGGAAGACRGTTTTTTGGAATCAAGACAAGTAACGTTCAAGGGACATGAAAATTCTTACAGGAACATCTGGAGAAGTTAGTTTATCTTTGTAAACTTAAGACAGCATTTTTTTTTTTCTCTCCTATAAGGACAGAGGTGTTGAGTTCTGTTTCAGCCTGTGGTGCATCAGATAGGCATGAATTAGTCATGGCTATTTCTGTATCTGTTGGCACGCAGGGAATCATGCGACTAATGTATTTCCACCACTTAACTACTTTGAATAATRAAACCTGTATAATGATAAAATAAATTTTTGTAAAGATGAATTGCAAGTGCCAGAACATTCCAGTTAAGGAGTGAGTGTGGTCTAGACAGGGCTGTGGTGCCCAGAACCTGGCCTGGATGCTAAAATTCTGCATTAAGATTGGTGAAAACCTGAGGACAACCACAGCATGGAGGGTAGAAAGKAACTGCATGTTCAGAAAGCCTGATCCTTGCACTTTAAATGCTTTTTTTTTCAGGAATACGGTTTGTAGACGGATTATATCCTCACATGAGTAATTAAARTAACAACTCTAATCTTACTAAAAAGCATAAACACTTTTCATGTGTTTCCTTCAGGAACCCCTTAACAGTGAAGATGATGTGAGTGATGAGGAAGGACAAGAACTGTTTGATACAGAAAATGTTGTTGTGTGCCAGTATGATAAGGTAAATTCTCTAAAGAACAGAAAGAAGATTTTTGTTTTCTCTGTTCTTCTCCCTTTCATGTCATAGCTTTTAAATGATACCTTTGTCTATAAAGTAGAAATTGTGGTAGTAAGACCTGCACAGAATCACAATCAATGGTTGAGGTTGCAAGGGACCTTTAGAGATCATMTAGTCCAACCTCCCTGCTCAAGCAGGGACCCAGAAATTTGATTAAACTTCTTTTCCATATCATGTGCATGTGTGTTTGCAAAGGGTCAATCTTCTGGGCTCAGCAAATGTAAACTATTGCAAATGAGTTTTGGTATTTTTGCTGTGGCCGTAAATGAAAGCAGCAGTCAGTATGATTTAGGCTTGCTGCAAAACTGTTCATTGATGGCTGCAAATTTTGCAAATTTTTCTTCTTGATGGTTGAACAGGTAGTAGAGGACAGTGATTGCAGTGTGGAACACTTATTTTGCTTTAAATTCTCTTCARCTGTGTTCCCTGTACTCACTATTTTTTGTGTGTTTTCCTGGAATATGTGAGAATTCCTCTGTGTGTGTGTGTGTGTATATATATATATAATTTATCTGGAGGCTATCACATACCTTTTTGCTGAGGCAGTATGTGTAAAGTTTCTTTGATGTAGATTTTCTTCTTTTGCCTAGGCTGTGTTAATTGGACCACAATGTATAAGGTTTCTTTTCAAGGGGAAAAAAACCTGGAAGTTTTTGAATAATACAATCTGCAGTATAAAGAATGACTTGAGAAGAAATCTTCAGTTATTTAAGTTATTTTAGTTAAGACTGAGTTTGCCGTCAGAATTGGAGTTGTGATCAGGTTCAATAAAGAATTTAAGATGCTTCTAGCTGTATCAGTCCCTGCAGCCCAGCCATATGTTTCCTACAGACTCTATTAAAAAAAAAAAAAAAAAAAAAAAAAAANAAGTTACATTCCAAGGGTCCTTATGATATCCTACCCTAGGATAGTGAGGTACCTCAGCATGGTGGTCAGAAAAGCTTGTTGGGAGCATCTACAGCTAGAGAACAAGAGGTGCTCTGAAATCCCACCTTAAGTGTAAAGAACTTGAACTCAGCAGGGTGCAGTGTCGGCTGTGAAGCCCAAGTGCTGCAAGCTCTGGAAAGACTCCAGCACTTATCAATAGCTGTGCAGTTTGTCCCTATAAAATACACAGGATCAGCTCAGTTGTTCAGAGTCAGCTTCCCCCTTGCACAACGTGGTGTCTTGCAGTGGGTGCAGCTGGGACAGCGAGAGGAGAGCAGAGGGACAGCAGTGCTCATAGCAGGCAGCTGCTGTCCTTACAGAGTGCCCTTTATTGCAGAACCAGCAGCGAGGGGAATGTCATTAATTTGTTTGATTACTCTGTGAGTCCATGTCAACTTTGTCTTGTGACAATGTTTCGTAACTGAGATAGGTCACGTGTGCAGGACTTTGTTGTTTTCAACCCACTATTTTGATGTGATGCTCCCGAACTATTTAGGGGAGTGAGTAGTTATTTCTTGTCTGCCTTATTTGTGTCTTTTATGAATCCTGATCCCTCTTGGGCTTCTCTGTTCCAAGCCAGAGTCACCAATGGGGGTTGCAGTCTGTATAGAAGTTGCCCAAACTTTAGATTATTCTTTCCTTTATTCTGTGCACCTATTTTATCCTTCAAAAAGGATATAGAAGGAGGATCAAAAATAGGCATGGCMCAGGTGAACCTTCTGCTTACTGAGTAATATAGTGCCGTAATAGTGCCCTGTATATATTTTTGACACTACTGAGCAGAAAACTTACATTTTTGTCAGTCTTTTAGAATACCAYGATCTCGTTTCTAAGTTGTAATTGTCAGCTCAGACTTATCTATTCTTGTGTGCAGCTAAATTTTAAAACTTATTTATATCAGTTGTGAAACTTTTTTTTTCCACTCATTCATGGCTGGTTTAAACCCTCTGTGTTTTGCTGATTGAAACGGAATATTTTTGCTTTCAAGTGGAGTTTCACAGATGTCATAATTAAAGATAGTTTAGTCAGAGCAGCAAAGGTAGATGGATATATTGTTTTCTTTTTTTTTTCTTTTTCCTTTCCAACCACCTTTCAAATTGTGCTGTGTATGTTGTATTTTGAACTGCCCCTGTGGCTGCATGATTTTTTGATGATCACTACAACAGCTGTCCCTAGATTAAAAACAATAAGCTGAAAATACTKATTTTTAGTTTTTTGGAACTAAATGCAGAATTGATTTTCAAGATGTTTATAGTAATCTGTTAATGTCTAATAGGCGTGATTTTYTCGGTTGGTTGGTTGCCATTATAATTACTTAAACACTGCTATGTATTTTGGGTGCAAAGTAATATTAATTTATTTTTCCTGTTTTTAGATTCACAGAAGTAAAAACAAATGGAAATTTCACCTCAAAGATGGCATCATGAATCTTAACGGAAGAGATTTTGTATTTTCCAAAGCCATTGGGGATGCTGAATGGTGAAGTTTTTAAGACAAAGCAAAACAAAAAAACCTTCCCATAAGAGGAAAAAAATCAAAAGCAGGAAAGGTTGAGACTTGGACATATATTTCAACCAAAATATGTATCTGCACATCAAAAATAAAGCATAAACAAAACTATTGGAACAAAGATAAAATGTGGCAACAAAGACACTACTTCAGATGAGCAAGCCATGGACTGTAGCAGCTATAGCATTGTCTGGGAGCTGGTTTTGTGTGTTAGGAAAACCTTAATTATCAATTCTACCTACAGGTACCTACAGCTGGTATTTAGCATGTAAGGCTTTGTCTCCCCCTTCTTCCCTCGGTTTAAGATTTTAAAATACTTCTTCCACTGATTGAAGGAACTCTTCCCTTTGATAGATTATTAATCTGAAAATGCTTATTGTGTGTACAAATCTTTGCTTTGGACACTTCCTTTCGGTAGTGAGGATGGTAAGGATGTTACTTAAACTGCGTGCAAGCTTTGTACAGAAGGGTAAGAATTAAGGTGTTAAATTTTAAATAACGTGTATAAGGAAAATATTTTTAATTCTGATAAGCTCATTAATTATTATATCTATTTGTTGTTTTCAATTCCATTCCCCATAAACAAGTTATTGTTCCTAGCAGTTACAAAATGGTAAAATGATCATTTATATTACAAAATTATTTTTTATTTCATGTGAATGGCATCTTTTATTTAGGGCTATATTTTTAAAATACTAAGCACCTGTAGCTCCCCCCTAGAAAGTCAGACTGCTTAACTCTACCTGTATTCTTGCTGTTTGATGGTCCTGCAACACCGTTGAACTGAAAGGAATAGCAGTAGTTTCTGCTGACTCCTTACAAAGACTTTGGAGACCTTTCAAATGAAATGTGTAGGTAATCACATGATAGATGCATTCCTTCACTAACATACTACATTTGTACTCCAGACATCCAAAATATTTGAGCAGGCCACAGGAATGACTGAAGTTTTAACACAGAAAATCTCATAAAAGTTCTGTTAGCTGCAAGTCCGTTAATCAGAGGTTTGCATACTAAAAAGCATAGCCTTAAGTTACCTGCAGCAGTTAATCTCTAATCTTTCCCGGTGGTATGTAGCTTTGTGAGGAGAACTGCGCAGCTTCGAGAACACAAACCTTGTCAGAGTGTCCTTAGGCTGCCTTGGTAATGGAAAATCAAGTGGTCAGATGCACTAAACCTCATTAAGAACTTTTTCACTTGCCTTTTCTAGAGTGGTTTTGTTTGTTTGTTTTTGTTGTCCAAAGCAGCAAAATGGTTACCCCTCCTCCCCTCCTCTTAGAATTGTGAACACCTTTTCTTCATGCATAGGTTATTCTTCCAAAGCCTGCTTCCAGAAATGCAGGAGGAGAGGGAACGGGCATGAKAGTTAGTGTTGAGGAAGGAATGTTCATACTCGTGGCGGTTTCAGCAAAGGTGTTTTGTTGGTGCTTCGAAAGGGACAATGAAAAGGACACGCGCAGTAAAGATAATTTTAATGGAATCGGGGAAGAATTTCTGGAACAGACATTTAACCCACAACTTCTGGCCTTTCTTCTTGAGAATGAAATTTTTAAAGCATAATTTAACAAGCTCATAAGTGTATTTAGGTAGTGTATAAGCAGTGTCCTCGTTTTCATTCTGCTTTACTTGCCACAAAGTGCATTGATAGTCTCATTAGCATTTAGAAGAATTCAAAAACACTGTAAAAAGCTGTTTTTTTTATTGTGACTTTTCTCACCTGTGGTCTCATTGACACAGACAGAACCTGTCTGTAGGCCATGTCTAGAGCCATCTTTCCTAGCAAGTCATCTGCATACATAAACTTTTGACAAGTTAATTTCTGGTTTTATTCATTTGTTGTTGAGCAGTGGCATAACCACATGGAGTACATTTTTGGCTCGAGGCTTCAAGGTATCTCAAACGGACTGGTGTTTGCGTTCTTAGAAACAAAGCAGAATTTTTTATTTTCATTTTTGCCACTGTAGAAACTTTTAAACAGTGCAAAACTGCAATGAAATGAGTAATATATCGGCTACTTCCTTATCTTTCCCATGTCTAATACCAGTAAGTTTTAAATAATGGTCTTCAAACAAATCCCACAGCGCTGCACAACTGAACAAGTCAAAAGAAAAAAGTCTTTTTGGGTACAGATTCCTGTTTATACCACTGGAAACCAGGTTACTGTAAAACAGGATTTTTTTTTTCCCCCGACTACTTTGGTTCTTCACCCACTTGTGTGTACCAGAAGCTGCATAGCCTTTTTATTTATTTCTAAGGGGTACCAGAACTTTGAAGGTAACTCGAGCAGAGCCTGTTCTGCAGGGTGTTGGAAGCCATGTGAACTTGCAAGCTAATTGAATGGTGTGCTTGTCAGATAAGAGGTTTTGTCTTCAAATACAAATACCTGTGAAGTTTTCTGAAAGCCAGTCAAACATGAACATACCAAACTGTGCTCTTATTGCTACATCAAGTGTTCCTTTTTTTAAATCAAAAAGCATGTTTTAATTTCATTTTATTGTAGCGGCTTGCTGTAAGAATGTAGTTTGCTTAATTTTATTATTGTACTTGAATTTTTAATCATGGTTTTAACAATGTAACTGAACAGACCATTTCATTAGGTTCCACAGAAACCATTCCTTTCAGAGGGCAAGGGATTCCCATGTTCATAGTCCATAAATGATCTTTTTTTCTCCTCCCCTTGAAAGAGATTTTTCTTTTCTTTTTTTTTTTCATTTAAATAGTTCAGTATTATGGAAGCAATTCATGATTTCAAGAGGGCTTATGTTTAAATTTGCACAGATAATGGAGCACCTTCTTATGATGGAAAAATATGGGGAAAGATAACTTCATAATTATAACTATGATGGCTGATGGAAACTTGCAGAGGAACTAGGCCAAAGCCAGAGCCTTGTGCCTTTTCAGTTTGCAGAATACCAGTTTTGCCAGCATGACCTTTTTTTGATTCCTGAGGGAGTAGATTTCCTGCAGTGCTTCAAACAGTTAAAAAAAAAAAAAAAAGAAAAAAAAAAGTTTGCTCTAATTTTGACTTCTAGTGTGTGCAATCATTTAAGAACATTTACTTTGAAAACCAGTTGAAATATGTTTTCTCTTAGGAGGTAATAGAGAATTTAGTCACATGAGGGATTTTATATTGGACTATTTAAATAAAAAGTATGATTTTTTTTTTATTCCCCCCTCAGTTGCTGGGTAGTGACAAGATTTCTTCACGGTTTCATACTCTTGCTTTGTTCTTGCGTTGTAATCAGAGGTGGCGTTTGAACGTCATCCATGTCCCCAGTCRTGATGTAAAAGAACAATTGTGGTCAGAGTTTATTTTCCCGTCTATGATACATGATTCGGAAGCAGATTTGAGAGAAGAGTACAGAAAATACTGTGTCCTATAGCAGATTTTTCATAAATGCTTTTCTGTTTCTCCTGCGGAGTAGGAGCATTTGTTCTGCAAAGGTGGTTTGGCCGTTTGGTAGTTAACAGTAATTACGGCACCTTAAAACGATCCGAGTAAAACTCCGTAATTTCAGTGCAGGAGCTAAAGACCTGGTGAACTGAGGTCTATTTTGAGCCAATCTCTTCAATGTATCAAAAAATCATTTAAACAAATCTATATATATTTTTAAAATCCAACAAAGCCCTCCTGGCTCAGCTGCAGGCGCCAAAGCCGCTGTGTGGGATGCAGTGGGAAGCGCGGGAGGTGGCGGCGGCCGTGGCTTGATGCGCCCACCCGGCCTCGCAAAAGCAGCTGGGGCTCTGGGGTGTCCCAGGGAGCCCCATCCCCTTCCTGGGAAACCAGAGGGGTGTTTAGATTTTGAGATGATTGATCACAAAAGAAGAATTACTCATTACAAAGGATGCACGTTTTTACGCAGAGGTGTCTCGCATTTAAAGTCATGTTTTCCCATTACTGAGATTGGTTAGGAAATTTTTTTTTTTAGTCATTTGGTTTCCCTGTTGTCTTTTTTATTATTACTTTTTTTAAAGCAGTTCATGCAGTGTGTCTTTGAGTTATTATTTGGTGGATTAGACATTGCGGAACAAAAGGAGCTTTTTGTTTTAACAGGAAGAACTGCCTTGGGTTAGCTCTATGTACAGTCATCTTAGGAGATGTGTTCCAGAATGCATAGGGTACCAATCAAATACGGAGTGGGGGAATATCCTTTTTTGCTGTTCTGAGCTACTATTGTCAACTGCTGTTGTACATATACTGTTATGTGTAAGGGGGTAAATATATTTATTATGTTTGTAAAATTCATTCTGTACAATTGCAGATCAAGGTTGCTCTTCTGTGATATACAGGATATTATGTTTCAAAGGCCATGCTTGGAATACAATTAGAGAACTTAGTATTTTGATGTACTAAGACCTATTTTAAGTTTAATATTTTGCCTTTGCAAAAACTTTAATTAAAGATGTTATTTAAAAATGTTTGCCACTTTATTTTCTATCTTGCATGTACGTTTGTTAAATATAAAATGTTCAATGTTCAAAGGGTGTAGTAATACTGAAGATTCTGAATTTATTTTCATAGCAATTTCTTCAAGCTGAGAGAAATAATATTGATTTATTTTTCTGTCACCGCCTTACTGAATTTGCTTTGTGGGCTCTCTACTWAGCATAATTACGTTGTTGTAGAAAATGCTTTAATTTTGAGGCTAGATCTTCAAGTTTATTCATTTTCTCCCTACATAATCTGAGGCTTGGGTCTCGCGGCAGCATTGGCCGAATAGCTCCGTGTCCGTCTGGAAGGAGGATCCTGGAAACGGCAGCACGGGCCTGAGCAGAGACATCCCCYGCCCTGAGAGCAGGGCTGCTGAGCCGCGCTCCGCCGGGGAGGCTGCTCCCCCGCAGGTGAGATCCCCTCAGCTCTTAGCTMAGAACGGCCTCTGGAGGCTTGGCTAGTGCTTTATTTTTTAAAATAAATCTTTAAACCTGAATTTTGACCTCTAAATTCCAAATATATTTGGAGAAGAATAATGTAGGCCGTGTTTCCTGTATGGAGGGTTGTCTTCTGGAATACAGGGATTTTAAATAGTCTTTTAGCCCTAGTTGTGTAACAAGATAACAAGGCAAGAATCTCAAGGAGTGGTAATTTTTTCTTACACATAGGAGCCTCTGTGCAAACCATTTTTTTTTTTTTTTGATGGCAGGTAATACTGATTTTCTCATAAAAAGCGCTTTACAAATGATCTTGAAAAGAATTTGGAGATGATTCCAGGCAGATATCACAACTTAGGAAAAAACAGCTTGTCAAAACATTTTTCAAAAGAGCCTTTCTCTCAAGGAGAGAAAGCAGATCATATTAGTGACAAATTAATTGACAAATTACTAGCAATGTTAAARCCATTCATGGAGAGATGAGAACACTATGATTACAAATTTTAAATGAATTTCCCATTGTGTGCTGTGTCTCCAGTAAAGAATTTCAAAGTGTGTTTTCCTTGAGTTGTCAAAAATATAAGATTCTTCCAAACTGCTTGCTTCATATATACACACRCACATATTATTTATAATATGTAATAATAATATATTAATAATATATAAAGATCTTTATCAGATGCACACACACARTTCAATCCTTTATTGCACACGTGTGAGAGCATAAGAACCTGAAGATAATTGCCTAGCTTTTAATATAATTCATTTCACCTGGACATTTCTTACAGCTTGTCTAAGTTTGGGAGCTTTCCTGTTTGTAAAAATGCTTTGCTTAACTGGCAAAATCTCCAGTCTTTTTTTTACAAAAGCTGACTCTCCATCTATTTTAAACCARTTTTCCACCAGTAATGGGGTTATGCAAAAAATCTCTAATCCTTATAGATGCAATATCTCTCATCTGGAGTACAGTGAAGTGAACTGCAGTTCAGCTGCTATGAGCTTCCAATGTAGCTATTACCACACTCAGAAAAGTAATTTCATGCCATATTTTTCTTTAGAACGAAGCCTTCCTAACTGAGAAATGCCTGTGCAATTAACTTCCTTTCTAAGTAGTGTATATGTGTGTGTCCTCGTTTGGCTGGCTTGAAAAAAGGCTCTATGAAATAATGCAGAGGTAATGGGGAGAGAAGATGGTTAACTTAAAATAGCACTTAAATGATCCTGAGGTGTCCATTACCTTCCACAGCTCACAAGCCAGTTTCCTCCAGAAGGATATTCATCATCTCTTATTTTAAGATACCTCTATGTGACAGATTATTTTTAAAAATAAATGTGTGCCTCTCTCTCTCTCTCTACATATATATATATACACACATCTTTTTAAAATTTATTCTTCCTGCAGTTTTGTATCCAAGAATTTATTAAAATAAAGTCAACAAATGTTTTAATCCAAATAAGAGTATTTGAACAACAATGCTGAAATAAAGCTTATCCTTAATTGCAAAATCAAAGTCTTTGGATTTTAAGTGGGGGCTCGTGATTCTGTCAAACTGGATGTGCTTGTGCTTTGCTAGCAGGTACCAATGGAGCAGAACGGCACCGCAGACGAGCCCGCGAGGTGCCCGAGATGGAAGATGAGGCAGTTTGATAGAGAGTTGGGAGGCTCTTGTCAAGTTGCAGGAGTCAGCGTAGGAGCAGGATGTAATGCCAAGGTAAAGAAATACCTTTGAGCGGTCAGTAAACTGGTGATGGAGAAAATAGATCAGGTTAACAGAACAAGGAAGGCAGCCTTTTCTGCCAAACTGCCTGGATTTCTGKTTTTTATTAATTTTTTTTTAAAATTAATATTTTTTCGAAAGGTCGAATCCCACTTCTAGGAATGGTGCTGCCACATCCCTGCAGACAGAGCTCCTTGCATGTCCTACCTGACCAGCGTCTGAGGATTTCCTAACAAGAGAGGAAGGGCTGAATCCAGGTGAGCTGCCCTGACTCGGCAGCAACGTGTGCTGGGAACCAGGGTTCTGGGGAAAAGCAGCATTCCTAAATGACACATCCTGCAGAATTCACCCTGTAGGAATCCTGTCCATGGGCTCCATCTGCGCTCCATCTCTGAGTTTTCTGAAAGATGCAGAATGCAAGGTTTGCAGGATGGATCTTCTTTCTTCTCAGCGTCTAACAAAGACAAAACTTTAGGGCTTGGAATAATATTTCTGGCCTTTTTCTTTCCTAACTGAAATTTACTGCCAGATTTRAATAAATAATTTTAATCCTAAAACAAAGTAGTATCTAATAAAAGTGTGTGTGTGTATGTGCTTTTAGAGAGCCTTGAGAATAGGTGAATTGTCTGGTRAGTGCCCTGTGTGGTGGTGATACTGATGCTAGATCTTGGTTAATCAACGAAGAAATATATAGAGGTTGCAGATAGCTTAGTGTTTTTGGAAGAATGCAGAGGTTTTTAGTGTTAGCAAGTCAAATTTTTGATTCAGAACAGTTTTCTGTCTTCATTTTCTATCCTGAATTCTGGTTTGTGCACTTAAAGTGGCTTCTCTCTGAGCTGGCATCATCAAATAGAGGGTGGCTCTTTGGAGAGTGGAAGAGGAAAGTGTAAAGAGACTCTGGGAAAGGAAACTGAGATAACATAAAGGATGAAAATATGAAGGTAGTCAATATTTTTTGTTTTTGTTTTTCTCCCATCTTCTTCCCCCTTGGGGCTGTTAATGGGAAAGTGCATCCTTCAGCAGGTCAACTGCCTACATCCCTTTTATCAGGGATGTATCGACAATCTTTGATGGTTTAGTAGTTGAAAATCTGTAACTAGGTAGGAAAAAAGCGTCTGCTGTTTCCACAGTTCCCTCTAGGCAGCAGCAGCAGCCCACATATGATTTAGAGAATTCATCAAGTGCAGTCCAAGCAGGCACAGCCTGAGCACTGCGCGTGCAGCACAAACACAGCCTTGGTGCTGCTGGACACTGAGGCGCTGTCATGGACAGGTTGGATGGCTGCGAGCCGTAGGGAAGATGCTCAGTTGGATGGTGCTTCAGGAATTTATCACAGCCTTTCTGTAAAAACTCATGTTACAGACCATGTTTCACTTGTAGCAGCTTTACCTTCACAAAAGAAGGAGAAGTTGTGTCATTTTTTCCACTATTGCCTTTTGATGGAAAAGCTGCTGTCACATGCTGTACAAACAGCCTAAAAACAAGCAGCGTAGCTAGCAGTGATGGATCTCATTGGCCACAGGGAGGTTCTTCTGGGCCTCAAAATTGAGCTTTAAAAGAAATTATAGCATAAAGATATATTATAAATTCCAATCACATTGTACTAATGACTGTGCATGTGCTCTTATATACGTATTCTGAGCGAAGTTGATGTTCACAATAGATTTCCTTCCTTAAAAAGAGAGAAGGAAGGGGACACTCCTCACTGTAGGAGCCTAGCAAAGAGCTGGGAACTGGAATGAGTCTGGTCAGGCTCTATGAGCTTTAATGGAAGTGCACAATGAGTAGCAGTCAAGACACAGCTCTAAATGACCATAATTACAGAAAAGCTGAGGCCTGGAGAAGTAGGCGGGGATGTTCTCCAGAAAGTTTTTTACTGATCTGCTGTAGCTATCTCATTTTGCCTAAGCAATGCCTACACGTAGGAAACTGCCCCTTATTGGATCAT